GTTACGAACAGAGAAGAGCTCGAACCATAAAGAAGTTGTACCATTTCAAAGCATAATATCTGCTTTTGAAGGTAACTTCCTAAAGAAGTTACTTGGAGCAGAAGGCATCTTGCTTCTGAACTTTGGATGCCTCATCCAGAACACCCCAGCCGCAAGAGCTACGATCTTGAAAGGCGTCACATACAAGATCATCGCGGAAAGAAGACAAAATATCACAAACAAGCAAGTCGCACGCGGATCTCTCCAACTCAACAATGCTTGAAACCTTTCCCCTTGTGTTGCAATGTCTCCAACAACCATCTGGATCCGACCCGCAACGCTTCTTAACCTATCATACCTCATCTTCACAACATCTTGTGCTTTTGAAGTCGGGAAAGTGTCGAATTCCTCATCTAGTTCATCGGGGCTAGCCGCTTCAGCCCAAGAGATCTTTGTGTCCATATGAGGTGGATGGCGAGGCCTGAACCTGAAATTCCATAGCCCTATCAAGAACATGTAGAGGAATGTTGTTGGGAGTATCAGCTCCGGATAACAAATCAGTATGAAGAAGAGAATGTGGAACAATATCGTCGTCAATGGATTCTTCCAATAGCAGACGTCTCCGAGCCATTTGCTCATAGCAATCAAGCCAGAAAACACAGAGACTATCCTGAAGAAGTTAGCTTTGCTTCTCCTCATGCTCCACATGTGCGAATCAACATCGAGCATGTACTCTACGATCTCTTTCCTTAAAGGAGGCTCTGCTCGGGATAACCGCGCCGCGACAATGCTCATCGCTTGGTATCTAAGACTGTCTAATTGGTTCACAGTGAATGGATGAAGATAATGCATCTTTGGAAGCAGAGGATGACCATAAAGATAGATCATGTGAGCCAATGATAGACAAGTGAATCTCACAGCTAATTGTACTTCTCCCATTTTCTTTAACCCTTTTGTTTGCAGAACAAGAAGAGGGTAAGAATGAGTGTAGATTCTATCAGCTTCTAGGGTTGATAATCGGATCCTTACCTTCCCGATTCTCGCATCGACTTTGGCTCCACTGTTTGATTTCTCACTTCCTCCGAGGTGACAGTTATCGAAAACTCCCAGAGTAATGACTGTACAAGGGTCATACACTTCCCATGTGTATTGCTCATTCCATTTAGGGTTAAAGCTCTCAATTATGGTTCTTGTTCTCACCCACTTTTGTCCATACTTGGCAACACAATACGGATCTGTTGTCGCTTTACCGTCTTTTGTTTTCATCGGTGAAAGCCCTTGAGCACTCAAGATCCCTACTTCAAGGATTCCAATGGGTTGCTTCCATAGTTGCCTTGCCGTAGGCTTCACGTCACTGATGTACAGAGTCGATTCGTCCATTACATGGTAACCTCCTTCAAGGCAAACTCGTAGGTGGATGCGGCTCGAGAACTTGAGCTCGTGTCTCTTGTCTCCTTCCAATGCCCCAAACCCAAATTTTTCGAGGTTGTACCATTTGGAATGAACAGCTCTGTGATCTAATCTTTTCTCAAAAACATTCAAAGGTGAGATCAGCCTCCCCATGACTTCATCTTTAGCTGATGTAACCTTGTTTTCGACCGTCAAGAAGAACTGTTCTTCAAATGGTTCTGCTGCTACAAACACAAGATCTTCGTTCCACATCGGATTCGTAGTCTTGTTAGGACATAACTTTGTTTTCAGAATCTGATTCCCAACCTGAACCTTAACAAAAGCTTGAGGCGGTTGGCTCCTATCGCTAGGCTCAACATCTTGCGCCTCGATTACATTAACCCTCAAATACCACAGTTTGGGAGATACATAGACTTTAGACCTCACGCTTTGAACACCTTCTCCTTGAACAGAGGAAGCATCTGAATGCCAAGCATCAGGAAACGCTTCATCGGCTTGCGTCCCAAGCCATACCGCTACCATAACCTCTCCTCTCTTCTTACTTTCGCTTCGGCGAGATTCTAATCTGTACCATTGAGGTGCAAGTGGACTATCAGGAGGAACTCTTGTAGGAATCTCATGCATATCAAACACAACCTTGCCTATATAATCATCTCTTCCAACCATCCCCATATCGCGGACAAAGACTTCGACTGTAGAGGATTGGATCTTGTCTTTCGAAAAGGCGAAAACTTGATTCCACTCCGGATTCGTCCGTTTCTCGAAATGTTTAGTCTTTCCTTTGTAGTTTCCTATCTTCACTTCCACATAAGGATCACAATTGCTAGTGACCGGGTTTGGAGGAAGATCTTTGGCTTTGACGACCCGAACATAGAGATAAAACATTTGCTCAACAAGGTCGTATGTGCTTGCAACTCGTTCGCTACTGATCCATCCACTTCCTCCACGTTGTCCTCCATGTGGCCATTTCTCTCCAAGGTCTAGTTTCATGTCTTTAAGCTTATAATCTTCTTGGCTCTTAGCTCCATCTTTCGCCGCCATGGCTTTTCTCAACAAGACTTGGTTTTAGGTTACTTGAACCAAAAGTTTCTCTTTTTCCCTTCAAAAACGCTTTAATTCAGCACCTGATGACATAGTAAAAGAAGCAAAAAAACTGCAGGGATGATCAGAATTTGAGAATTGCAGAAAAAATGATTACACAAAACCAGTTTCTTGGGTGTAAAGAAACTCGTTAGTACTGGTTTTAAAACCTTAATCATTAGTATTACTATTTGGTAATTTTCTTTTAATCTCAAAGAAGATAATTGATAAGATTCTTACTTGATTTAAAAGATACTAAGTGGTCGACGCAAATCTAACCTCTGTCTCTTGGCTCTGTTTTCATGAACTCGTTTAGTGTTTGCAAGAAAATACAGAATTGCTTCGATCATCTTTTGTATATAGAAAGTGAAGAAGTAGTCCCAAAACGAAAAATACAGAGTTAAAAGAATTGTATATACAAATTTTAAAAGAAGATAACAAACAAAATCTATGAAGAATATAATCTTATTTTTGTAAGAACGCTATGTTTATATGGATCGACAATATTTCAAGAACAATAAATCATATGAAAGATTTATAAAGCAGAC